AGCATCAGCGCTCCATCAGCGTTCTCCTCTGATTTGGAACTCCTGTTGTACAATAAGAAATGACGGAGGTGACCTGTGATTAGGATCAGCTTGAATAAGGTCTGTTACTTTTTACTTCTAAAAAATGAGATTTGACCTGAATTAGGAAGTACACTAATTTGTATTATGTACCTCAGTGATTCTCAGCCCTGGCTAGACATTAGAATTACCTGAAGAACTTTAGAAAATACCAGATGCCAAATGACTTGTCCCAGAATAATGAAATCAGGACAACTAAGGCGAGGCCCTGTATCATTTCTTAAAATCATTGCAGGCAAGTGGAATGTGCAGGGGGATCAGGGGTTGAAAACTACTGAGTGGAGAATGGAAAGCAGGGAAGTAGGGTTTTAGACTGTTCCTGCTGTTACTCAGAGTACAACTAGGACTGCTAGTGAGCTTACCAGGTGCTAATCATGTGCAGGTAGAGTTCTAACTATTTTTCATGGAATGAAAATACCCTGGGGTAACTCCTTACAATAACTTATGAACTTATTTCATTTTTACAGATGTGTGTATGGAAAACTTTGAGGAGGTAAAGCAATTTATTCAGAGTGGAATGACACTTCTTGTGGATATTTTCTATTGTAAAAGTGAGATATAATCTGTATATGTAGGTATATAGTATGTCTGGTTTTTTATTGCTCTTGTCACAGAAGACTTTGATGGCTCTTGTATGGTTAGCATGCCTTAGTCCTGCCAGCTGAGATCCAGGTATGCTATGGTAATCAGTCAGGAATCTTCAGATGCCAAGTCACAAATCTTGGCCTCCTAATTCCTAGTATCAGACTTCACATGAGTTTCCTGAAATGCATATTTGTAGCAAATAGTTTACGTGATGGTGGAAGTCGGTAGACATTGATAACTTACTCTCCACCAATGACTCTGGAATATGTAAACACTCTAGTAAGTCCACAAATTGTAACCCTTTGAAAATTCACACGTGATCTCTCGTGTTATGTTTACCACCTCCAGGACTTGCAACTGGATTGTATGGATGGGTTAAGGGAAGGAGATGAATCAAGGATGACTCTTGGACTTTGGAGCCTATGGGAGAAAGGATGTGAGGTCTCCATCATGAAGGGCTGGATGGGTAGGGTGAGATTTAGAATGGATTGTGATTTAGCTGGTTGCAAAGTCTGAGATCACTTGCCTTCTAGTCAGGGCATCATTAATACCATTAAACCATGAGTGCGTTGTTGGCAGTGGTTTTGGTGTACAGCTCCATACATTTTAACCCACGTACAGATATGGGCCGGCTGAATAGTGTGCAGGGCTGGAGTGTTACTTCTGATCAGCTATCATGCGTGTCCTCCCCCGACCTGAGCAGCCTGGACAAACCTGACTTCTCCAAGAGGGTTAGGTCGATACCGGCCTGAGCTAGCAATTTCTTGGCGGTTTAGAGACAGGCCCTTCTGAAAGATCGACTGATGGTAGGAGGGGAAACATGTGGTGGGTATACTATTCCTTTTTTTCTGACTTGACAAGATACTGAAATCCTTGATCCCAAAAGGAAGGACTTGAGATACGAAAAGGAGGCTGACCAGTGTGGGTACTTTCTGGAAAGAAATGAAATGATGTGCCTCCAAAAATAAGAGGTACTGCCTCACAGGGTGCTGGGACCTGGGATTAGAGACTGGGCGCAGAAGTGGACATTCATAGAGCAGTGGCGGTGGGTGATAGGTGAGTGCTTGTCCTTATCCTGGCTCCAGACCCTTCATGAGCCCTCCTACGCACTTTCTTCCCAGATTTGCATCTGGAGCACCAAGCTCAAAGGCTGGAGGGATCTTCTTTCCCCAAAACTTGACACCCTCAGTAGAATCCTCTGTAAGACAGAACAGCTAGAAGCTTCTTTGATGTTTAGGGAAGCTCTTGTGATAAGTGTTCCCTTTGATCTCCACAGACAAAAAGCTACTAGCTTCAGGTTTGAAAATTCTGACAGTTTTGTTTACTTTGTACTAGGAAAGCCTAAGTGAGATCCTAAGATGAAAAGCTCTACGTAAATACATAATAATAATACAGTTATAGCCTAGGAAAAGAAAAATTTGCTGCCTCCAACTTAAGAAATCCAGGTACCTTTCTGTACATCTGTTATAAGCAAAAGCATTTAGAGCCTCTGTCCTGAGAAGATGCAGGAACATAACTGGATGGGAGGTCAGGGATCTGCTGGTGGAGATAACAATGGAGTCCACAGTGCAAGTGCCCACACTGGTCAGCCCTGTTCCTTTCTCTGCGCAGAAGGAAATGAAGTCTTCTATAAGGGTGAGAGGGACGCGGGAGAGAGGGAGGATATTTGAGCTGAGCCTGAGTGAAGGAAGTGGGGAAGAGCTTTTTTTCTGCAGAGGGAAGAACTAGGTCAAAAGGTCCCTGACCCACAAGAGGTTGGTGTGTTGGGAGCAGAGAAAAGGCTGTTGTGGTTGGTGGCGGGTGTGGTAGGAGGCAAGGCTTGAGGTCATGTAGGGTTATAGACCATACAAGGTGCTGACTATTTTGTTCTTAGAGAAACAGATTTTAAACAGAGGGCTAACATGGTCGGATTGATAGGGTTAAAAGATCCCTCTGATTGCTGTATGGATAGGAAAAAAATTAGAGATCATGGAAGAAACACAAGGGCTCTCCAGATGGCCCAGAAGGCCTGGGGAAATGTGATCAGATTTGAGTAATATTGTGAAGGCTGAGCCAACAGGACTTGCAACTGGATTGTACGGGTTAAGGGAAGGAGATGAATCAAGGATGACTCTTGGGACTTTGGAGCCTATGGGAGAAAGGATGTATCCTGTAACCCAACAAGGAAAACAGGGGAGGCAGAAATTTGGCGGTGGAATCCAAGCAAATATAGAGTTCTGCTTGGCCTGTCAAAGGGTGAGTTGCCTGTAGCCAATCAAGAAGGAGGTGCTAAGGAGTCAGTGGGACCCACGTCTGGAGTTTGAGGTAGCAGTCAGGCTTGGTCAGTCCTTTTTAGGAGTTTCAGGGACTTTGGTTCTTATGGAAACTTCCAGTGTTTTAGAAACATTTAGCGGCTGGAGCTTGAGATTGACACCTGGAGAACATGCTGGAGCACGTTGGGATTTCTGCATCCCTCCTGGGAAGACACACTTACATGATGAGCACACGGGAACCCTCTGCAGCTATACCCATGCCTTGTAGAGACAGTTCTGAATATCTCTCTAGACTAGTGGTCAACAAACTGCGGCTCGCGAGCCACATGCGGCTCTTTGGCCCCTTGAGTGTGGCTCTTCCACAAAATACCGATTTCTCCGCATGGGCCACGAAGTTTCAATCGCACTGTACGTGCGCACCCGCACGTGGTATTTTGTGGAAGAGCCACACTCAAGGGGCCAAAGAGCCGCGTGTGGCTCGCAAGCCACAGTTTGCCGACCACAGCTCTAGACTCAGGTGATTGTTTTTCTGAATTCTTTTGTGCACTTCCTCTTCGTTAAGCCAGACATAGGTCTCACTTCCTACTTGTGTATGTTCCCAGTGGAGTGCAGCACAATCATTAAGAGCTAACAAACAGTAAATCACATTCATATTTCAAAGTTTCTTAAAAATAACGCAATCACGAGCATGCCAGGTGTTTGTGCTTCCGTGTCTTTCTTGTGCATGAATATCGCAGGCCGTTGTCCCTTTACCTCGTCCAACTGGCCAGTGAGAGTACAGTCCTTGTTAACATCAAGTGGGTGTTAAATCAGAAGACTACACAGAGAAGGGGATGGATGATGCTCAGGACGGAAAAGGGCCCACAGGCCAAGCCCACTTATTTATGTTTGGATAAATGTCCCCACTTGAACTGTCCCTGGCTTAAGCTCTGCTTCCTCTTTTTATTCCAATTTCTTCAGCCACTTTCGCTCTTTCCTAAAAAATCATCTTTCATCTACTCCAATGAGGACATTTACCTTATTCCCTGTGCTCCTGTTCTAAGTACTCTTGTGTTTACCATATTTTTTATAGTTTGTTCTGTTAGAGAGTCTGGTTATCTTCACTTCTCGTGGAGATGATTTCCCCGGGACCGACAAGTGTTGCCTCTTGGAGAAGAGAGTCTCTGGTTATACTGGTCATATCACTGGCTCCCCCAAGTGACTCAGCGTGTTGCCAGGTGGGCACATTGGCCATACCCAGGTTGCCGGAGATGTCAGCACCCTAGGCTTTTTGGATAGGCAGATAACCGAGCAACCTCTGGAAAAAAGTCTTCTCTCCTCTCGCAATTTAATAGCTGTGTGACCATGAGCAAATTATTGGATTTCTCCAGGCCTCTGCTCTCTCCTCCATAAGCAGGGGTAATTACAACCCACTCATGATACTTGAATTACATGAATGAATACCTGTAAAACACCTAGCAGAGTACCTGCTATATTAAAGAAATTCAATAACCTTTAGCTCCTGCCTTAACCCCTCTGAGTCTTTGTTCATCAGGAAACAGTAACCATGCACTCTGAAAGCACACAAACCAGCAAGTGGCTATTATACTAAGACAAAAGGAGCTTGGAAGCAAGCTAGACTGAAAAAAATGAAGGAAATTGACAATCAAGACAAAGTGGAGAAACAGTGCAGTGGTTCTAGGACCTGCCACCTCAGCCTCACTTGGGAACTTGTTAGAAATGCAGGTGCTCAGAGCTGCTGAATCAGAACCTGTGGGCACAGGGTTGGGAAATCTGTCCTAAAAATCCCTATATGTAATTCTGATGTACAATGGGCTATCTACAAATATTGGGTGAGGAATCATGGTGCATGTTTCTGCATGGGTATGTCTGTGTGCATACACACCTATGTACATACAATGTTTGTAACTGCTGAAACTATTAACCAAGCGTGGTAATACAGCAAAAATCCTGCCCATTTTTCTTTGGTATGGTTGTCTGAATAGAAATATTTCTAGAATGCTTATTTGGAATGACTTTGTACTGAATTCATTTTGGGTTTAAAAGTATTGATTCACCAACTTTCTTCTTTTTCTTTTTCCCTAGGAAATTCCACTTACTTGGATGACCATGGACCACCTCCTAGTAAGGTAAGGCCTCTGCTTGTGGTATAAATCCCCTTTTCCTTTTCTTAGTACCTACAGCCTCCACCAACCCCAACCACATCTCTCCTGGCTCTGAATTCTTCAAAAGAAAATAGTTGTTGGCAGTTGTCAAGCTAATCTTCGCCTTATAGTATGGAGAAAAGGAAGCATGTGGAGGTAGCCAAAATGGTGAGAGAGGAGAGCCAGGATCTCATCAGTAGCTGTAGCTGTCACAGCACTGGAGCCTTCGGCTGACTTCAGGTCTTTGGCTGCTTCCCCTGTCTGCTGCCTCATTGGTCTCAGCATCCATGCTGGCCCATGATGTAATGCCCACAACACAGCCTCCCCATCCCTAGAGCCTTAGCTAGACTCACCTCTGCCCACTTCTCCCCAGCCTGCCTTCATTGGTACATTCCACCCAAGGCTCAACCCCTTAGAACCAGATTTCTCTGCCAGTGCCCCCCCCCCAGGCTGACGTGGCATGGCCTGTGTGCCCACCTTTGTTCTTTCTTTAAGCAGTTTGGGCTTTACTTTTTAAGGGTCAGAACTATCTAGCAAAGTATTACTGTAGTTCTCTACCACTAGCTACTTTCTTGAAATCAATGAAAACCAAATGTCAATCTACAAAAATATAAAGACAGTCTTTGACAACTGAAGGCGCTGCCTGCAAAGTACAGTTTTAAGTGCATACTGAGAAGAAAACCAACCGCTAACCTTAGCAGCTGGGAATTTATCCTAACGTCAGCTCTGAGTTGGGGATTTGAAAAACTCCACCCCATTTAAACCCATGAGCTTCAGAATCAGGTGTTTCCGGGCTCACCACTGGCTCTGCCACTTTCAGTGTATGACATTGGACAAATTACTTAGTATTTGAACTTGAGTGTTGTAATGTGCAAAGTAGGATTAAAAATACTGCCCACAGTATAGGACGACTAAAAGGATTGAATGAGGTGAAATATGACAAGCACTCAGCGTCTGGCATGCTATGAGCATTAAATAAGTGGTGGGGAATGTTAACTAGACTGGAGTAACATTAAGATCATTGATGAATGGTACAGTAGTGCTTGTCACAGTCATGAATGGCTCTACCACGCGGCCCACTGCATATTGAGTGCTTGTGAAGCTGTAGGTACTAGGAATACAAATATGAGACAACACAAGAATAGCAGCAACAAAATAGCTCCTACCCTGGAGGAAAAAAGTATGTAGAGGATTGGACACCATCTGAAGAGAAGAACAATGTCCATCTCGTCTCAGTTTCCTCATGTCCGTGCAATGCTGTTCATTCAATTTCACTGAGTTGGACCATGCCCCCCAGAGCTGGAATCTGAATTAGATCTCCTAGCTCCTATCCCAGGTCTTTCCACGAGGCCAGTATTCTCAAACTGGAGGCTTGTTAAAGCACAGATTGCAGGACCCAGCCCCCTGCATGTCTCATTTTGTAGGTTTGAGGTGGGATATGAGAGTTTGCATTTCTAACAAACTTTTGATAGATGCTGGTGCTACTTGTCTGGGGATGTAAGGCCACGGATATAGAGAAAACCATTCCCCTGGCCATTTTCTGTGTGGTTTTTTACTGCTAATAGCCTACAAGGAGTGGTATGGCTAATTATATAAAGGCTATTAATTAGTATCATGATGACTCCCATTGTAACTTTTCTTGTAGTGAAAACGTATTTCCTTTGGTCAATAACCTGCCTAGGAGGGAAAGTGAGTCAGGGTGGGAAAGAAGCATAGCGCAGTTGGCCTGCTAGGTTCCTTTGCCACTGATTGTACTTCTCTCCCAAGTGGGGCCAAGTGCCCTGCAGGGAAGAGGTGTTAGGCGGCTCTGTATGTGAGACCCATCAGCTGTTTCCTTCAATGGCATGTCAGGGCATTGCTTTGGGTTCCAGGTTTGATACATAAGGTTTTACCTCTTCAGAAGACCCAGGCCCACTTTATATGAACTTACCTTCTTTTACTCAATCTTTGGTGACCAGCCTGGGGCCACCCCTTTAGTCTGCCTGGGGGCCTTCCTCATGCTGGGGTGCCCATCCTGTCTGTCCCTTTCCTAGTGTCCTCAGTGCCTGGGTTCTGTGTTTGCTGGGCTCTCTCCCTTGCCCCTGAACGTTTTCCTCTGTCAGTGCATTGTGTCCTCCCTCCGCACCCCGCCCCATGCAGTTTGGCCTGCACCCCTCCCTCTTCTGCCACCTCCAACTAAGGCTCCCTGTGATACAAAACTGAGCAGGTTCTATCAGATCATTTTACACCACTTTCAGAATAAAAGAGATTGTAAACTTTTCCAAGTTTGAAAATTGTGGCTATAATCTCTTTAAACAAGCACAAGTTTATATAATACAGTCTTTCACTATAACTATTTTCATTATCTAGAAGTGGAATAGCAAAAACACTCTTGACTTTCTAAGCAGTAGCCAAAATAAGAATAATACAAAAACGGGTAAAAATAATATTGGTATGTTAACCTCTTTTCATCCGTGCTTACTAGTTCTGGCAGGGTGGAAATGAATCCCAGCAGTGACGAGGTCGGACTGCCAGACACAAGTCCCTTGAGTGTCCCCCGAGGTGGGGCGTTGGTTATTTAGGTCTACAGACCACTGGCATATCCAGGGCATGGTGGCACCCAGAGGATAAGGACTCAGACATGTGTGGCCTCCAGCATGAACCCCCCGCCTGGCAGGGGACAGCGGGACTGCATCCAGACCCACAGTTTTCATTTCTGTTTAGCATTCAGAAATAACTTTTTGATGCCAAGACCGAAAGAGCTGTGATCTAGATAGAATAAGATTTGTAAGCCCTAAAAATGTACCGAGGTTTATAGGCGGGTTCTCATTTTATTAAAAGCGCAGTTCTACAAGTTTCACATTCCACAAGTAATAGCCTTTTGGGGAATGGGGTGTGCACCACACGACACACACAGGGCCCAGGTCTTCATTGTCTCCGGTATTTTCATATAAGAGAACCAAATGCCTCTGATTTTCACTTGTTTTTCAAATCTACTTTAACCTCGCAGCTCACCTCAGTTTTTGAGCTAAGTCATTTAAAAACAGATGTTAATATTTTCTTTTGTTGACCACTTTTTTGCTGGCATTCTGTGTGTGCACAGAATACAGTCCTTAAGATTAGATCCCTACTAGAAACGAACATGTAGACCTCTTCCGAATGAAATAGAAAGATAGTCTCTTGTATAAAAACAGGCAAAAAACAGCAAGCATAGTATGATTGCACTTCTTATAAAATTGTGTGTGTGTGTGTGTGTGTGTGTGTCTTTGCGCCTGGAACGATCATCATATTTTCTGCAGATGATGAGATTTTTACCCTATTTCTTATGCTGTTCTGTATAATTTGAATTCACTAAAGTAATGTCTGCTCAACCTGAAGACCAGGAAAAAAATTCCTGGTGTGAGATTAAACTTGGACTGGAAAGCCTGCAGTACTCTGGCTCCTAAAGCACCATTTGTAGTTTTATGGACCCTCCCAGAGCAGTGCCCCCCTACCTCCCCCGTTCCCCCACTGAAAGTTGACCTCTCTCCTCCTGGATTCAGATTCACTTCACCTGGAACATGAGCATCAAGTATTTGCTCATCAAGTATTTGATCAGTTCTGGTGCCTACCAAGACAGTTATCATTTCACATGCTCTGGGTTTCCAAATCTTATAGATAAGGAGAGTTGGTTTAAACAACTCAAGGAAAATAAAATCATGCTCCATAGCGGATGTCTATTGTTTCCTATGTGCCAAGTACTCTGCCAAGCGCTTTGCATGCATGTTTAGTCTCTATAAAACTCTATAAAAAGGAAATAATTTTTAATCCTAATTTTACAGATGAGGGAACTAGATCTTACAGAGACTGAATAACTTGCCAAAGGTCATGCACTGAATATTGGCCTTGGGAATCCAGCCCAGGGCTGTGTAGCTTCAGGGCCCATGCTTTTAATCATTTCAAGATCACCAATTTAAGTAGAAATGCAACAATTTTTACCTTATTGCTAGAGTTTACTCTTTTATGTAAGTTATTTGGGACCTTGACTGTTACAATAAACAAGTTTTGACCCTCAGTATATCACCAAAAAATAGTTATCACCATTTACCATGTGAGTACAATGGACTCTTAATTTTTTAACCATCTGGTAAATTTTTTAATTTCTACCTCATCTTTTGCCTTCCAATCATCTTTGTGGACATATACACCGTCAGCAATTATACATTAACAAACTGTATGTAAAGTAAAATTTGGTATATAAACATCACAAAAGATGAAAGAATACTGTCCCACATTCATTGAACAAAATGGATGATCCAGGTTCTTGTTGCAAAATTCTGATGTTTTTTTCTCTTGATGACTAACTGCATGAGAATACCACATTTCCTTTTTGTCATTAGAAATATATTGTTCACTAATGGACTCTTGAGTTTCAGAGACTTGATGTAGGATGTCATCATCTAAAGACTTGTAGCTGAGGTTTCACCCCATGATCCATTTCTCCATCATCATTAGAGTCTTGAGTGCTATTGTTTAAGTCTTGGCATTCATCTCAGATTTCTCTAATGCAGTGGTTCTCAAACCTTCCTAATGCCGTGACCCTTTAATACAGTTCCTCATGTTGTGGTGACCCCCAATTTCATTGTTACAAATTGAACATAATTAAAGCATAGTGATTAACCACAAAAACAATATGTAATTATATATGTGTTTTCCGATGGTCTTAGACGACCCCTGTGAAAGGGTCATTCGACCCCCAAAGGGGTCGCGGCCCACAGGTTGAGAACCGCTGCTCTAATGCGTGTGAAACCTCTCCCTCTGTCAATTTTCCTTTCTTTGTCCTTAGAGGCAGGAATGAAAAATTCTGAATTCTCCACTCTGTTCAATGGAAGTTAAAAGCAAACTACAAGGATGGTACTTCCAACCTTCTTTTATATCTTTCAGAAAGATGTACAATATTTTGGGTAATGAAATAAGAAATATGGAGGGTGATGTAATACAATTGATTTCCATAATGAATCATTCTT